ATCCACGATCATGGCAAACGGCAAGGGCTGTGTCAAAGCACGAACACTCTTGCAACGCTTCAGAGAGTCACCACATGTACGTGTAGACAGTGATGTGGAAGACAGTGCATACAGTCTAAAAGGAGTGGTCTAGTGGATGTGCAACGAAGGGATGTGCGAAAAAGGAGACGTGGACATGACAATGCAGCAGAAAGGTGGGACATATAGACCTGCGGATTTCAAGAAGTTGCTGGGCACTATGGCAAAGAATTGGAAAATGCTTGTTGATGGGTCGAACGACAAGTTGAAGAGTGGTGCTGCAGAAATCTTGGTGTTGTCCAGAATGAAGGACATTACACAAACACCGCCAGAAGACTTTCGAGATATTCCTGTCATTGTTGCAGATGGTGTGGAATATGTTCTGCTGGATCAACTTGCGGACTTCATGAAAAAGAATGCCGACGACAGGAACGTCATCCATGAGACGTTGCACGAAGCACTGCAAGGTCAAGATCTGATAGAATTTGTGCCAGCAAGAACAGAAGACAACACCATATCTAGCAGACCTTTGTGGGGGGAGTTATTATCAGCTGCTTTGGAGCGGCTCGGTCTTGCAAGTTGCGATGTTGAGAGACAAAGAGAAAGAGAAGAAGGATGAAAGGTGATGGCCAGGGAAACAAATTTCGCAATCATTCCAGACAACGGACAAACATCAGCAGCACAAGAATCAATAACCAGTATGGCAGTCGATGTGCCTCCCATGCAGACAGCAACGAGAGAGGAACCAGTGTATTCCGATATCTTCAATGCTTTCACAATGGAGAAAGAACAGTGTGATCGTTGATTTGAAGAGGCCGATTTGCCAAGTTGTTTTGCAGAGTACACAGACAATGCAGAAAAAGAAGATGAAGAAGAGGATAAGGGGGCATCATCTTCTGACGTGGAAGTGAGCGGCAGCGATGTCATCAGCGACGAGGAAGACGAGGAACATGATGTATACTATGATTTGAAGGGGCCGGGTGGACAAGTGACAAAAGGGTGGGCACATGCAATTTTGAGGTTCGCACGTACTTTTTCCGATCCGCACAAAGTGTTGCATGTTGTGATGAAGGGGGCAACACCAGATGGTGCACTACAGTATGTCGCAGTGAGCAGCATAATGAAATCATGCAACAAGGGGAAAAAGTGGTCACGTGTTGACAAGGGATGGTTTGTTCTGGTCAACAGAGAGGCTGTGCTAGCAACGTCACTTACATGGCGAGTCAACCTGAGTTGCCTCATACACGGCGCACTGACGACAGCTTGGGGAGACACAATGCACCCCGGCTTGTCAACAGGAGACGCAATAGTTAGTGCTCGGCCACGACGTCACACACAAACACACCCACACACCACGACAGACCATGTTAGACATCAGGGATGATGACAGGCATGCATAGCATAGAGCAATAAAGTAGTAGTACAAACAACCAGTGCACATACGTTTTGATAAGCATGGGAAGCTCAACCTGTACATCCCTCTATGTCTGCCTCAATTTCAAAGAAGGTCGGGTTCACTACTGCGTGTCATATCAGTGTCCACCGGTGCTGTTTGTTGTCGTTCTGGCCCACACTGGTGAACCTCTCTCTCTCTCTCTCTCTCTCTCTCTCTCTCTCTCTCTCTCTCTCTCTCTCT